ATTAATAGGTTCTCCACATTACTATGAGGACAAACATGAGTGAAACGGTCTCAATCCAAGGGAGGAACATCAAATGGACCAAATTTGGGAACCGGAAGAGGTAAGGAGTCCGAAATGTACCTCTGTGCCTCCACATTGTGGAAACTCACTTGTAGTGTATAAGATGAACTAGATGGACCCATACTTACCCAAACATGGATTAATAGGTTCTCCACATTACTATGAGGACAAACATGAGTGAAACGGTCTCAATCCAAGGGAGGAACATCAAATGGACCTAATTTGGGAACCGGAAGAGGTAAGGAGTCCGAAATGTACCTCTGTGACTCCACATTGTGGAAACTCACTTGTAGTGTATAAGATGAACTATATGGACCCATACTTACCCAAACATGGATTAATAGGTTCTCCACATTACTATGAGGACAAACATGAGTGAAACGGTCTCAATCCAAGGGAGGAACATCAAATGGACCAAATTTGGGAACCGGAAGAGGTAAGGAGTCCGAAATGTACCTCTGTGCCTCCACATTGTGGAAACTCACTTGTAGTGTATAAGATGAACTAGATGGACCCATACTTACCCAAACATGGATTAATAGGTTCTCCACATTACTATGAGGACAAACATGAGTGAAACGGTCTCAATCCAAGGGAGGAACATCAAATGGACCTAATTTGGGAACCGGAAGAGGTAAGGAGTCCGAAATGTACCTCTGTGACTCCACATTGTGAAACTCACTTGTAGTGTATAAGATGAACTATATGGACCCATACTTACCCAAACATGGATTAATAGGTTCTCCACATTACTATGAGGACAAACATGAGTGAAACGGTCTCAATCCAAGGGAGGAACATCAAATGGACCAAATTTGGGAACCGGAAGAGGTAAGGAGTCCGAAATGTACCTCTGTGCTCCACATTGTGGAAACTCACTTGTAGTGTATAAGATGAACTAGATGGACCCATACTTACCCAAACATGGATTAATAGGTTCTCCACATTACTATGAGGACAAACATGAGTGAAACGGTCTCAATCCAAGGGAGGAACATCAAATGGACCTAATTTGGGAACCGGAAGAGGTAAGGAGTCCGAAATGTACCTCTGTGACTCCACATTGTGGAAACTCACTTGTAGTGTATAAGATGAACTATATGGACCCATACTTACCCAAACATGGATTAATAGGTTCTCACATTACTATGAGGACAAACATGAGTGAAACGGTCTCAATCCAAGGGAGGAACATCAAATGGACCAAATTTGGGAACCGGAAGAGGTAAGGAGTCCGAAATGTACCTCTGTGACTCCACATTGTGAAACTCACTTGTAGTGTATAAGATGAACTATATGGACCCATACTTACCCAAACATGGATTAATAGGTTCTCCACATTACTATGAGGACAAACATGAGTGAAACGGTCTCAATCCAAGGGAGGAACATCAAATGGACCAAATTTGGGAACCGGAAGAGGTAAGGAGTCCGAAATGTACCTCTGTGCCTCCACATTGTGGAAACTCACTTGTAGTGTATAAGATGAACTAGATGGACCCATACTTACCCAAACATGGATTAATAGGTTCTCACATTACTATGAGGACAAACATGAGTGAAACGGTCTCAATCCAAGGGAGGAACATCAAATGGACCAATTTGGGAACCGGAAGAGGTAAGGAGTCCGAAATGTACCTCTGTGACTCCACATTGTGGAAACTCACTTGTAGTGTATAAGATGAACTATATGGACCCATACTTACCCAAACATGGATTAATAGGTTCTCCACATTACTATGAGGACAAACATGAGTGAAACGGTCTCAATCCAAGGGAGGAACATCAAATGGACCAAATTTGGGAACCGGAAGAGGTAAGGAGTCCGAAATGTACCTCTGTGACTCCACATTGTGAAACTCACTTGTAGTGTATAAGATGAACTATATGGACCCATACTTACCCAAACATGGATTAATAGGTTCTCCACATTACTATGAGGACAAACATGAGTGAAACGGTCTCAATCCAAGGGAGGAACATCAAATGGACCAAATTTGGGAACCGGAAGAGGTAAGGAGTCCGAAATGTACCTCTGTGACTCCACATTGTGGAAACTCACTTGTAGTGTATAAGATGAACTATATGGACCCATACTTACCCAAACATGGATTAATAGGTTCTCCACATTACTATGAGGACAAACATGAGTAAATTTTGAAAGCCTAGAATTTTCACGATTAGTATTAGTATACATTTCGATCTTTTGGGTTATACGTTCGTATTTTACGCAACTTAATGATACTCACTAGTTTATATATGTGCCAATACGTGCAAATGAAAGGAAAACAAAAAAGGCATGAGCTGTCTAGTAGTTAAATCCAAATCTAAATTTGTATTACGTAATTGTATTATACCGACGAAACTGATATACAAAATAGAGTCAACGACTCAGCATCCAATTAATTATTGAGATATATATATATATATATCTTTTTGAGTCGAATTTCTTTTTGTTTTTGTTAAACTTTGCTTACATCATAGGGTATCGTATTAGACTACTATTAGGTTGGTGTACCATGTGATGATTCTACCACCGAAAAAACAGAAACCAATATATTAGTACATACATAAACATATTACATAATATAAAATAATCATATCCTATAATATACAGACTTAAACCACATATTTCTTATATTTACGGTGGTAAATTTTCGGGTGGGGAAAAAAGAATGTTAGGGTTAATATATAGGATATGTCATTTATTGACGAAATGGGCTCATCTAGGGTAACATCACCTACCCATACAATATTATCATGCTTTTAGGGCTTTTATTTTCGGTCTGGTCCCACAATTTTCCCACTTTCACTCGTGCCGCGTGTACCACACGCTCCAATCTCTATCCGCTTCCGTGCCGACGCTCCCTTTTCGATCCGCGCCACGGACGAAACGTGCCCACACGCGAAAAAGAAATGCCGTGATTTTCACGCGCCTAGGGTTTTCTTTTTAAGGACAGAACAAACGGGTTGTGATAAGAAGCGCACATCACGGCCACGTGGACGTTTTTGATTCGTTCCTTCTGCCCCATCCTATCACACAGAAACGTCACTGTATTGTAAAAAAGGAAACGTAAATGAAAAATGGGTTTCCTTATTGGATTTACCAGAAAAAAATCTTTGAATCTATGAAAAATTGGTTTCCTTCTTGGATTTACCAGAAAGAAATCTTTGAATCTTTGAAAATTAAATTTATTTCTTTTGTTGTTTAATATTTGGATACTTGTTACCCTTTTTTTTCTTTGCCAGCAATTTGATACTTGTAATTACCCTAATTCCAGCTGTCTATATATAAATGCTATAAGATTTCTTTCCCTAAAAATAGTCAATATTGCAGAGAAATTTCTTCCTTTCTATCTATTGCAAGATGCAGATACCGATACGTGTACACAATACATTTAAAGATAGGTAATCTTGTTACATGGAAATGAAAATAGGCAGACCAGATGGTGACATGGCAGTGTCATGTTCCATAGATGAGTTGTTTTTTAATATTTTAAAATGAATTAACTTTTATGTCAATAAAATAACTTTATTATATATAAATAAAAGAAAACCCTCATTTCAACGCAAAAAAATAAACCCTCATTTCAAGAGATAAGAGAGCTCCACTTTCTCTCTCTTGGCTCTCAACAGTCTCTCTCTACAAGCCAAAGAAAAAAAAGCCCCCCTTTCTCTCTCTCCTTTCGGCTGGGAAAAGACTTAGGGTTTCACGAAAATTCGCAGTCAAATTCTACTCATCTCCCGACGAATCAGCCCTCGGAGATTCTCTCCTCTTCTTATCCGGAAGCTTCTCAATCTCCCGATTCAGATCTCTCCGCCTGCCGCTTCAGATCGAGCTCGAATCTCGCATCGCTTTCTCCGTATCTCTGGTCGGATTTATCCAGGTGCGTGTTTCCGACATGAATCTCCGATTCGTTCGATTTAAGGTTTCGCTTATGGCTCGATCTTGTCGGACGAGATCTAGCTTGACTCGTAGCTGACTTCGTGTTTTTTTTTTTGAGGGCTCTTCACTGTTCATATATACGTCTCTTCGAAACTCGCTGTTCTTACTTTTGTTTTTTTTTGTCTTTTTTTCTCGTCATTTGCGGACTATTCACGTGCGGATAGATCTGACCCGTATTAATTGGTTGGTCTTCGTTATCTTTGTTAATCCCATGCGATTAATTTTAAGTGTCTTATTATCTGTTAATTGGGTTCTAAATAATTTGATTTTAAACCCTAATTTACTCGGATTAATAATATTGATGTTTCTTGGAGTTTGTAATCTGGAGATTGTAATGAAACGTTCTTAAACTTTTGTGTTTTTGGTCATGTAGAAAAAGGTTACAGATTTTTTTCACACAATTAATTAAAAAAGAAAAAAAAAAAGTTACAGATTTGATTGTCTGAAAACCCTAATTTTTAGGTCGGTGTTTAAATACATGTTTATTTTTTTGTTAGATCGATGTCTGAAACTCACGTAAATTTTTTTTTTTTTTTTTTTTTTTTTATGAAATGATATGCTGGTGAAGGATTTCGTTCTTAATTTTATGTAGACACCTTTAGGGTTTTAAATTTTCAATTTCCATGAAGTTGTAGAGGTAGGTTATGAATGTTATTTTATGTGAAAATACATGGAATGTGCTTGAACATTATGGCGTATATCAAGTAGTATTTATTGCTTAATTAATTTAGCGTTATATTTGGTGTCGTGGATATGGAAAGTTAAGATTATGAAGCCTTACGTCTTTATTTGCAAAACCATTGTGATCATCAACAACAATCTAATCATCAAGCACGATTATACGGTGTGATATACGTAACTTAAAACGTTTCTCTTTTGTGATGCTTAAAGATATTTTATGTGTACTTTTTGTAGATCTAGCTAGCTGCGGAGAGAGTTTAATGGTGGAAGTTAATCATCACTAAGGCATAAAATCTCCTTCAAGCAAATCACAATGGGATCAATATCCATCGATCTCACAGACGCTGTCAACGAGAATGATATGGCCAAATGTAATCATTTCTCCATACGGTAAGCATAATTTCTTTCAACTTAAATCACCAACCTTCTTTGTTAGAGTTTGTTTATACTTTCCAATTTATTCGATTACTTTTTACGTGAGATATATGAAACGTTCACTTCCAAATATATACGTGATTTAATGACATGAATATTTATTTTATTCTTCTTAAACCATGCAGTGGATACGTAGCTGAGGCATTTGAGAATGATATGACACAATGCTGGCCGTTCTCGAAGAAGAGTTATAGGTTGATGGAGCAAGGAATCTATCCTCTTCCTCCTTTGTCTGTTCCAAATGATAGACGGCATGATTGCACGAGCTGCATCAGAGATATTCTTGCTGGTAGGCCAAAAGGTACGTATATTAATACTCGAGAAAAATATATTAATGTTCAATATATGTTTCTATATTAGCTAGAGATTAAGGCTGTTTGAGCTAATGCCTGTGTGTGTGGTTGCTTCTAGATCCTGAACTGCGTTCATACCCAAGAAATAGAAGCCGGAAAAGCGTCCCTAGAAGATCTTCCCCTGGTCCAAGCAATAGGAATGCTCTAGCTGTCGTTGCAGGTATACATGCATATGCTAGGTTTAATTAATTTGGTTTCATTATTCAAAAGCAACAATAATAATTTCGTATTATCATCTTTCTTTGCAGGTAACGCTGTTGAGCAGAATGAGAATCAAAACCCTGAAAGATCTCAACAAGCAACTGCTGAGGAGAATGAAATTGTAATCTGCGCTAGAAGGTCTTCCCCTAGTCCAAGCAAATTGAATGCTCTAGCTGTCGTTGCAGGTATATATGCATATGCTAGGTTTAATTAGTTTAGTTTAATCTTTCAAAAGCAACGATAATAATGTCGTATTATCATCTTTCTTTGCAGGTAACGCTGTAGAAGAGGATGCGAATGTAAACAGTGGAAGATCTCAGCAATATGATCTTACTACTGTCGAAGAGAATGAGAATGTAATCTGCGCTAGAAGTTCTTCCCCTAGTTCAAGCAAAATGAATGCTCTAGCTGTCGTTGCAGGTATATATGCATCTCCTAGGTTTAATTAATTTAGTTTAATCATTCAAAAGCGACGATAATAATTTCTTTGCAGGTAACGCTGTAGAGGAGGATGAGAAAGACGATCACACAAATGTCGAGGAGACTCCGAATGTGAACTGTGAAAAACAGCAGAAAGATGATCGTACTCGTACAGGTAAAAAATAGTTTTCTCGCAAATTTAATTATATGTGAATGAGATGCGGAGACCTAATGCCTTGTACCTCCAATATTTTGCAGCTTCAACGTCTCTCAAGAGAGTTCGTCCTTCTCATACCGTTAGGAACAAGAGCAAAAAGCTCGAGATCCGGGAGCCGGCAGGCAACGAGAGATCTAAAGCAAAAGCAAACAAAGCACCAAAGGATGTTAGCCGCCGGAAAGACAAACAAATTATGGTTGAGGAGGCTGTGTCATCTGAGATAGCTGGTGTGGCTGAGGACACACCGCCTGCGGCAACCAAGAAACGTAAAGGCGATAATGTGCCATCGGAGAGTATAGATCCTGACATGAGTGAGCCGCAGCCTAAGAAAGCTCGCAAGTCTCGTCTGATGAGCGATTTGGTTGGTGGAGCCAAGAGAAAAGCCAGTGCTGGTCGTAAGCCGGTTAGAGGTAGAAAGGGAAAGATGCTCCCTCAAGCCAGCCGGAAACTGAGCTGTGGCAGCGAGTCAACTGAGAGTGGGTCTGAAAGGGATCCCATCAAAGGCAAGCAAAGAAACAAGAAGTTTCAAGTGGTTGACGTGAGCGACACAGATCACGGTGATAGTAGTTTTCTATCGGTTCCTTGTCCTCCGAGTAAGAAGAGAACAAAGAGGAAGCAGATTGTAGCCAAGAGGAATAGTAACAAGGTGGTAGCTGATAAAGCGAAGAGTACCGGAACGGATGAAGGAACTTTGGTTAAACCGCGAACCGGTCCTTCCACAAACGCAATTTCTCAACCTACTCTAGATTTATCAAATGAGGTTGACGACCGTTTGGCGGAGAATGATCATGGTTCCTCTTCTAAATCCAACACTGGTGAAGTGA